ATCCGATCATGGTGTGACAGTGTGAACGGCACAAATCCGATATTTTCAAATCCGATCTGGGTCACTTTCGTATGTGGCGCTGAAGCTGATACATATCCGATGTTTTAGAAAGCGACTGTTTGATGGTCATGTCGCATTCGCACAAAAACAGTTCTGAAAACAAACAAACAAAACAAAAATAAAAACAAATGAAAATAAGATTAAATTGAATCACAAGAAGAAAGAAGAAAAAAGCAAAGATAAGGAAAGGAACGCCTCATGATTCAAAAAATACCACATGGCACGGACATGTGAAACCAACTCACTAGTGTTTATTGATGACGTGACTGCAAATTGAAGTTGGCAGATAATTTCTGAAGTGCACAAGTTATACTCAGGATGACAGCAGCAAAAAAGGTCTGACAAAGTATCTCAAGGGAGGAAATGGACTGACAGTGACACAAGGAGGATGAAAGTAAAAAAAGGATCCATTTCAACAATTTCTAGTCATCCTGTTAATTTGATGTTCTTCATTAAGGCAGAGTCATGGTGGACACTGCTGTTCCAGGGATTGTGACTGTGTCAACTCTACTGATGGACTAACATCACCACGACAGCATCCAACTGTATGGCTTCTGTAATTGATTTTGACTTTATTGTCAACATCAAGTTGAACATTTGTAATACACAATCAAAAACACATTAAAATACTATAGAATATGAAGGTAGAATGTTTCGTACATTGTAAATCTGGGTAAAAGTCAATGCACTGTAAATTTTGTTGGCTTATTTGCTTTATTGGGGCACAAAAACAATCGTAGGGCAGATGAAGGGGTATGCAATTTTTAAAGGGAGATTTCAGGAAAGTAAACCCTGCAGAAGTCCTTTGATTAGTCACTTTATGACACAATGTAACCCTAACAGTATCTCTTACCTTTCTTGGCTACCTGGTCTTGACAATTTTCATACGTGCAGGGTCCCCACGTGCTCCACGAAGATACCTCACAATCAACAGGACAGCTTATGTGGCAGAGTTGGGTGGTGTTTGGAGGAATACCCAGACAAAGCTTACTGTCCACTGGCCGCAGTGCTATAGAGACACAGACAAGGACAAAGACAGTGTTAATCTATCTTTAAGACATAGTTTAAAAACAAACTAGCTCAATAAAATTATAAATGGACTCATATAGTTCTTATACAGGGCTTTTCTACTCTACCTGAGCACTCAAAGCCTTGTAAAGTGATTAGAAAGTACTCAGCTATGTGGTGCAGAGGGTGATAATCCATGTATTTTCCACATATACCCACAGTCATGTGACTTCTACAACACATGACAGACGGCTTAGTGAGTCACACTGATTTCAAATTGCAACCACAGTTTAAGAAAAACCTTATAGATGTTTGGCCCGATTGTCAGTTGACCTCTGCTCCATCAGCTGCAGATGGCTGTCTGCAAGGTCGTCAGGCTGATGAGTCATCATGGTTGTGTCACAGCAGAACTCATGCACATACAAATTGCTTAGCCAAAGGTGTGTCCTTTAATAGCGTTGCTCAGTAGGCAGTAGACGACGTGCCCTTGAGTGCTAATGTGGCAAAAGCTGGCAGATGAGCAATCCAGTCTCTTTATCATGGACTACTGGTGGTTCTATTGTTAATATTTTGGGAATAGCGGGTCAGATAGAAAGCAGTCATTTTCTTTCTCAGTGTTACAACCACCATGGCCACTGCCCTGTGATGCTCTGGGTGAGTGAAACAGAACTGGGCCCAAGAGCAGGAGTTTGTCCGTTTGAGTCACTCCTGTCACATCTAATTTTCTTTCTTGCTAGAAAGTTCAAAAAGTACTTCAAGCTGAGATCTAGGCTGGCTTAAGTTATTGATCTGATTTATAGACTGCCATTCAACATCAACAAAAAGATTTTTTAAGCTTGCAATCTGCAGCTGTTTGGAAATAAGTCCAGGGGACCTCCTCATCTTGTGTAAATCTACAATTTTCCCTCGTGGATCTTTTTGTTCTCATTCCAAGATATTCCATCTTTGCCTCTCTTTGTCTCCAAACTGTTCATTTCTGTTTTACAGGAGGAGATCACTGACATGGGTTTTCATCATCAGGCTGTCCAACCTCTCCCTGACTCATGCCGCTGTTCCTACTTGTCTGAGTGCCTACACCATCATTCCCATCCCCCAAACAGTGGAATAGACAGCCTCAGTGACTACAGACCTATAGCTCTCATGTCTAGTCATGAAATGTTTCTCAGCACACCAGAGACTGCCTGCCTCCCTCCTCGTTCAACCCCCACCAGTTTGCTGAAGAAGCAAATCAGTCCACAGAGGATGCCGTTACCATCACCCTCCACAGAGCACTGAGCCATCTTGAGAACAGGAAGATCTACATGAGGATGCTCTCCGTGGACTACAGCTTAGCGTTCAGCAACACAATCCCAAACATCCTTATCACCAAACTGGGCCTCCTTCAAATCCCCCTTCCACCTGCTCCTGGATCAGGCCACCCGCAGACGGACTCTACTTAGACCTCGTCCAATGCAAGGTTGTTATCGTTAACAAAAACTAACCGAATAATGAATACTGGAAGTAAAAAAACTTTTTTGTTGGATGGATGATGGATGTAGAAATAAAAATAAAAACCGAGACTTTGTCAAAGAAAAAAAAAGGAAAACTAACTAAACCTAGAATGAGCTTTAACAAAACTAACCAAAATTAACTGAATTTATGTAGAAAATGTGTTTAGTTTTCCATGATGTGTGGTGGGGGTGGAAGGGGCTTGAGCACCGGCCCCTTTCCCGATGGTGCCCCAGTTTTCTTTTTACTTATTTGAACCATTGCATTAATCAGCAGCATTTGCAGAGTTCCACACTGACTTGTCTGATGCAGACGAATATGTAGAAGAAATCTACCTACACTCATTTATTGCCCGATGTCGTAATTGTGTCTACTAAATCCATCTTAATTACAAAGTTACTCTGCCATTATTACAGAAGAAAGTGATACGAATGATTCATAATGTTAAATATAGAGAACATACAAATAAATTATTTATAAAATCGAAATTATTAAAATTAGGAGATTTAGTGAAATCCTGCAGGCCCACCACCCGCAGGAGGCGCCATAGGGGTCGGGTGCATTGTGTGCCGGGTGGCGGCCAGGAGCGGAGGCCCTGGCGGACTGACCCCCGGCTGCCAAGACTGGCAATAGGGACATGGAATGTCACCTCTCTGGTGGGGAAGGAGC